ATCTCCCCAGCCCCTATGTTTCTGCATTTGATTCTTTACTGCAGATGTTATTAATTCAGGGATTTCTTTTTTCATTTCCAGTCTGATTTCCTCTATACCTTTCTGCATCTGTTTCTTTATTTCAGAAGTCATTGATTCACTTCTTTCAGTTGTGTGATTCCCAATTTATTCTGTTTTAATGGCCTCTGCACTTGTTATGGGTGGTCTTGGGGCTTGAGATTGCATTTTCCTCCTTCTCGTTGTCATTTTGTTTAGCACTGTCTTCTTACCTTTGTTGTAAATCTTTGTTGCAGTTGTAACCTTAGCCTCTACTGAAGTTCAGGTGCAGATCTACAAAGTTTGGATTTATCCAGTTGTGCCTGACTTGGGTCTGGTTGCTGTGCTCAGCTCCTTCCTGCTGCTGCCCATGGGGGTGAACCTGTTGTGCCCCTCTGGCAAGATGTTTTGCTGTTGGACCAGCTGGGTGGTTCTTTCCCCTACACTCTGTAGGGATTGCAGCTGCAGGGTTTCACCCCAGGCCTGTGTGCCAGGCCGGAACTGAGACTGGAGGGGATAAAGTGGAGTAGGGGGTAAATGCAGCTGTCCTACATACTCACTGGGCCTGGGCTAGGACTGGATCTGGGGGTTCCTGGAACGTGACAGAAATTCCTATTCGGTGGGCGAGTTGGGAGAGGTGCTACAGAGTGGTGGGTGGCGTCCCAAGTAGGTGGAAGAGGTTCTCACCCACACTGCGCCTGGGCTGGGACCAGTAGGTTCCCTGAGGCAGGGTAGCCGGAAGCTCACCCACACACTCACCGGGCCTGGGCTAGGACTGGTTCTGGGGGTTCCTGGAACGCGGCAGAAATTCCTACTTGGTGGCTGGGTGGGGGACGTGCTGTGGAGTGGTGGGGGTGTCCCAAGGGGTGGAAGAGGGTCTCACCCATGCTGCGCCTGGGCTGGGACCAGTAGGTCCTGCTGGTGCAGGGTAGCCGGAAGCTCTTAACTCTTTTTAAATTCATGCAGTTTTCAAAGATTAATTTATGCTTGTCTACCTTAATGTTTCTTAAACTCTTTAACTATTTAAGAAACTGTAACCACTTGGATCAAATCGGTTGCTGTGTTAAGTTCCTGTGTTTAGTCATTTTCTGAAGATGGTCTCTTCCATCTGATTCCATTTCTCTGAGGGATGTCTGTATATAGTCACAAAATGCCTTCTTAATTACCAAATCCAGGGGTCCTTTTCATTCTTGATCCTATTCAGCCTTTCCAATGCAAGCCACACCCACCTGTCCATCCTTTTCTTTTTCTACTGATTCAACACTAAACTGGATCCCTTTGGTTTAGTCTTCAGCTCTTTTTCTTTCCTTTGTGTTCTTTTGCTCTTAAATTGAATGCTTTTGTTATATCCTTGAGCTTCTCATTGGTAGTTGTCTCAACCATCCTTTGACTTTCATGTAGTGTTATTTTCTTATTTTTTGGTCCATAGTAGTTAAACACTCATTTGCTGTAGCTATTGTAAGTAGGGCCTACATACCTGGCACAGTATATCCCTTTCCACCCATGACTTTTGTCCTTTGTTCTTGCTTTAATACTTTTGTAGATTTTGTTCATGTGCATGTTTCATTTTAAGAATGACTTGGGTTTTTTGAAGATCACTGTACAGAAGAGATGGCAGACTTCCCCCGACTCCACCACTGCTCTGTAATCACATGCAACTTGCCATTCCTGAAATATTGCAAATAACCTCCTTGTTGCCCCTGTCTCTTATTGTTTCTCCCAGAGGTCATTATTGTCAGGAGTCTCTGCTAATAATCTTATAATGGGTGGCATTACCATTATTCATCATGTTCTTTTTTATTTAACTCATTTTTTGTTATAACACTTTTTTTCAACTACCACGAATAAGTATATCAGTCAGTCTTTTCTCATCTGAACACAAATTCCATGTGATCGAGGGCTTTGTCAGTTTTGTTCACTATAATGCATCAGTGCCAAGAACATACATGGTACGAAGGAAGTTCACAGGTAATAGTTACATTCTTCCCTCTGTTCCCACTCATCAGTCTGGTTTAGCACCTTTGTCCCTATTTCCTGGGCTGCTGTAGTCAGAAACCAGAGATAAATCAATGTTCAATAATTAAAAATTGCTTAAAGAAAGAAAAAGCCATTTGACTTAGAATTTGTTGTAGAATTCTCTTACCAAATATTTATTGTATACCTATTATATTCTAGAATCTGTAGCAAGCAAGAAACAACAGTGGACAAATAAACAAAACATACTTTTTTATGAACTCTGTTGTTATGATGTAGTTTTTTTTAGTTTCTCTTATTCTCTTAGTTCATTGAAAAGAAAGCTTTATGCTAATATTGTTTGGAGAATTTTTCATACCCATACCTTGTACTGTGAGTAGCTACTTTAAAGATAATATGCAATGTGTTAACTATTGTTACTCTCTTGTATTGTTTTGAAATTTTGTGGTTTTTTTCATAAAGTAAAATAGAAAATTCATGGTTAAATGTGAAATAATAAATGTCTGGAAGCTAATGGCTCCTACTTTGAGTACCTTTTGTAACTGTATTAACCTCACAATGTCTCACGAAATTTAGTATCAAAGTATTTATGCAAGTTTTTTTTTTCCATGAAGTGTGTACCTGTTTTGGGGGGGGGGGACTCTGTATGTGTGTGTGTATGTATGTGTCTGTCTGTCTGTCTATCTGTTTATCTATCTATCTATCTATCTGTCTGTCTATATTTGGTCTGTGTGACTAAATTAATGTCTTTGATCCATAGTTGAAATGCATTCTAGAGTTAGGACAGTTTTAATATTGAAATTGCTAATTCCAGTTTGTAAAATACTAGTCACAAAAACAGCTAATTAAATTTTTCCTTTAAATATCTGCTTGTAGTAAATTTTTTCTTTTAAATAATTTTTTAAATATTGCATAGTCTTACAAATAGAAAAGTTGGTAGACAAGTATATTATTTCAAGTCTATAATTCACACACAGCAAAGTAATTAGTTCATTTTGCTTTCTTCACGTATATTTATAGTGTTTTTCTTTAAAAAGTGTTACTACTATTTTTCTCTTTTGGTTAGGGATGTTTCAAAACCAGAACGATATAGTGGAGACAGCATAATCTACAAGCCGCCAGGGGTAAGTTGCTATTTCCTAGTGTGTATAATACGATGTTTTTTACAGTACTGGTCATTAAACCCAGGGCTCACTGGACAAGTCCTCCATCATTGAGCTACATTTTTAGCTCTTTTTGAATTTTATGTTTTATTTTGAGACAAGATCTCTAAGTTACCCAGGGTGGCCTTGAATTTATAATCCTGCTATCTTAACCTCCTGAGTAGCTGAGATTACAGACATACACCATTGCTCCCCAGTTTATAACAGTATATTTAAATAGGTATATAGTAAAATGTATAATTTTATGTTTTGACGTTTACAGGCACATAAAACTAAAGGAGCTTTGGGGCATCATTTTATGCTAATCAAAGTGTTTTAGAGTATAAGCAGGGCCATACCTAAGGTCACGCAAGCCTTTAGTGGCTAAGCTGGGATTTGTGATCTTTCTATTCCCAGGCTCCTGGGACTTTTCTTCTTCTGTTTTTCTCAGTTTTGCATTCCATCTGGGAGCCAGATTTTAAAAATGTGTCAGAAGTCCAAGAGGGGAATAGCAACATACAAAAAGGATCACCTGCTAAACAGGAAATCAGATACCAGGGAAGGCCGACTTTCCTTCCTTCCTTCCTTCCTTCCTTCCTTCCTTCCTTCCTTCCTTCCTTTTTTTTTTTTTTTTATAATAATTCAACCCTTGTATGAACTACATTAATTGCTTTTCAGGGCAGCACCCTCAGTGACTTAATTACACTCGACCTGTTAAAGGTTCTGCCAGCTGATATATTGTCCCATAGGACCAAGCACATGAACTTTTTTTTTTTTTTAAACATACGATACATAAATTACAGACTTTTGAAACAAGAATAACTGATTAACAATGAATGATATATTATCTATTTTTATCATCAGATCAGTTGCTCAGATTAACAGAGATAGTTATGCAAGATGGGACGTGATTGAATACTACTGCATGCTTTCAATGCACAAGCCATAATCAAACCATATCTGATGGGTATTTGCCTGTATTTTTCGGTGTTTATTAAGTACATTTCTTAATAGGAGCTTACATAGTATTAGTATCCCTAAATTATCAGAATCCAGGCGAGTGTCTCCCAACGTGATGTACTGAGGAGCACGAGCTCTGGCTTTAGACTATCAGAATTTGAATGTGAAATCTGCCACCTTCTAGGTGTGTTGCTCTAAGATGGCAGCCGTTCTAGTTGCCGTAGAGGGAGGTCGGTGGGATTAAATGAACCAACATATATGCGGTGCTTGTCACAGGGCTTTAGCACAGTAAGCTGGGTGTCCTTGTCAGTTACGTCATTACCCTGTTAAAGCCCTAGTGAGCGCCGGCACCAGTGAGCATGGGGGCTCATCTGCAGGGAGCTACACCCAGCGACACCTGTGCGTGGGCCTCTGCACGCATCTCGGCTCTGTCGAGCTGTTCCACTCTTTAAATCTTCTTCTAGCATTTTCAGCTCTAACGAATAACTTAATTTTTTTCATTTTGCAATGTCTGCTTGTTTTTGGTGAAGAGACTGATAAATAGTTAACTGGCCACATTCAAGGAAAAGCAGAACACTTACATGTCGTGTGTTGGGGTGTCAGGTTCCTGATACAGAGCTATCCTTTATACTATCTGTGGCCTTTTTTCTCAGAAGACTCATGTTTTATGTCTCCTGTAAATTTTGTGTGTTCAGAGATGAATTTTAAACTTTTTTTTGCCAGGGCAGGTTAGAGTTGTTTAATTTGTTTTTTTTCCTGTTTTATGACAGCGTTCTGCTCCGGATATGGTGTACTTGGGGTCTATGACAAATTTCGACTTGACTTACAATTGGATTCAGGATAAATGTGTTCCTCTTGTCCGTGAAATAACATTTGAAAATGGAGAGGTATGTGGTTTTTAGCGTGTGATATTATTTTGAATTCACATATGTAAAAGAACAACCATAGGCAGCTCATGGTGTTACTTTAAAGCATTTATCAGTTCTAAAAATTCATATGGTGAGCATACCTCTATCAGAACTATTTTCATAAAGCTGGCTGTTGATTCTCCTCTTTTGCTGTCCAGCACCACTGCTGTTGTATTTCTGGTTAAAAGCAATAATTTACTAGACCTGTGAAATATATATAAAAATACATTATTCTTAAATCTTTTTCATTTTTATCTTATTATTGTTTCTGAATGAAAGTGTAGGTTAGTCTCTTTTTGTTTATGGTTTATCAAACAAATGAATATCCTACTTCTTTAGGCCAAATGTTTATTTGACCAAATTACTTATATTTCTTTATTGTGTTAGTTCATTTAGTTCTCAGAGGCTCAGAAAGATTCAGTAATTTGTTAACTTTTCCCTATGTTATAACCAACCATGTAAAAATGGTTTAAACTACTGTATAGGGAAAGATTTATCATTATAAATCTGGTTGTTTTCATTTCCTTTTTCTTAATCTCTTAATACTTGTTTGCTAAAGAATATGCTGCTAAGGACATAAATAAACTTAGTTGACCAGGAAGCATAAATGCTTAGTGACTGTGTTTAACCTTAGTAAATTAGTTGGCATGTATATTTTCAAACTACTAACCTCTTTATTATTCCTTTCCTATTAGTTGTATGCTTGCCTATACTTCTCTTAAGTCTAATAAAATATTGTAGGGTTTGTTTGTTTGTTTGTTTGTTTTTTGTGATAACAGGAATTGAACTCAGGATGCCACACACCACTAAGCCAAACTCCCAGCCATAAAATAATGTTACGTGTGCTTTTATTTTAAATTTCATAGCTCTTAAATATCCTGAGAGGTGAATGCTGAGTCTTCTTTATATATATATATTTTTTTTTTAAAAAAATAATTTTATTAAGAAAGAAGTATCAGTGAGATAGTTTCAAAACAGGTTAGTAGTACAGTTATAATTAATACATTATATATTATTGTCTTTGTAGTAGTTACTCGTACTACAAGATGCAGACATATCTTGTCTAAATATTATTAGTTTAAAACCTTCTCATTGAACTAAGAGAAAGTAGCATATATTTATGCTATTTTGTATATACAGACATATATTTCTTTTCACTACAAAATGGTCCATTTATATCCCCTTTTTTGTTTACTTTCATCAGAGATGTGTATTCCATTGCCATTCATATATTGTAGGTGCATCAATTCAGCAGAGTAATCCAATATAGTCCAGTACTCTATAATAGTAGTGGGTTATCCACAAGACCGGCAGTGTCAGAAGTTGTTGGCTTGAGCTTTTTACAGATCAGCATATTAATACGGCTTTACTTTTAAAGTTAACATTTTTTAATTTTATTTATTTGTGTGTGTGTGTGTGTGTGTGTGTGTGGCCAGCTCAGCCCACCAGGGGGCGGGGCTGGCTGGCATGTGGTGCTGGGGGATTGAACCGCAGTCCCTGTGCTTTGCTAAGCTTGTTCTAAGTAGGTGCTTTAGACCACTGAGCCATCTCACCAGCCCTACGGCTTTACTTTTTATACCTCATTTTTATACTTTTCTGCTGGATGGTTAAGACCAAGATAAAGCAAGACCTATATAACAAAAAATGTAACTTTTGTATCTGACAAAGTCAGTCAAATCCCCTCAGGACTTACCCTGAACCCTGTTCCACAGTTTGTAGATCCTTTACCAGTGTCAGCCATGTGGATGAGTCACAGCCATTGCTTGACCAGTTTGCTGTCTGTGAAAGCCAGAGAGAATGTTTTCTCTCCCTGTGACTCTCCTTAGCCACACTCTACATTTTTGGTCACTTTCCTCTGTGGCCCCATAATCTCCTTGATCAGAAAATTTGGGACACCACTGAGTTATATGATGTTACAGTACAGGTTCTTCTATGTCCTGAGTCCTTACAGACCTTGAAAGGCTAGGGTCAAAATGTAGACTGTCCTTGCAGCCTTTCTTTTTCTCTAATTTTTTGTCTGCAAACTTAAGTTATTAACCCTCCAGAAGAGAAGCTTAATGATATTATTACTCTATAACATCGGCTGTTGAGCTTAACCTCACTACCTGTCTGAATATCAAACATCTTAGGCATAACATGGAACAAGTGTTTTCCATCAAATATTGATATGTTAAACTTTAAATCCCTACAGAATGTGAAGAAAAAGATAAAAAATAAATTAAAAAACAGAAAAATATTTTTAAAATAGGAATAAACAATTACATATTTTTACACAAAAATTTAGAAATCTAACCATATGTAGCATTGTAGCAGGACAGCCCTGTGATTTTTTTTTTTTTTTTTTTGGTCTCTTAATGCTGAATCTTCTTTCCCAGTTATTATTTATTCAATAACATTTGTTTCTTCACTTTTTGTCATATATTGATTACATATCATTGTATATAAAAATAAGCAAGGAAAGGCATATAATAATACCTGTCTTCAGGGCTGGAGAGATGGCTCAGTGGAATAAGTGCTTCCCTGGCAAGGGCAAGGGCCTGAGTTCAATCCCCAGTTCCACCAAAAAAAAAAAAAAAAATCTGTCTTCAAGAGGCTTTCTGAGTAGTTTGTTGTTTTGTGGGTTGTTTTTTTTTGTTTGTTTTTGTTTTTGTTTTGTTTGTTTGTTTGTTTGTTTGTTTTTTTGTGGAACCTGGGACTGAACTCAGACCCTTGGTGCTTGCCAGGGAAGCGCTTATTCTACTGAGCCATCTCCCTGGCCCCTGAGTAGTATTTCTTGTACATAGATAGCATAACTAAAGATACACCCTGTGCCACTTGAGGGACACAGAATTTGTTCTTAAAGTTTAAAGAATTCATTTGTACTTCTAGAGATGGGATAGAACCTGAGAATGCTTTTAAGAAGACACATGACAGCCCTAAAACAAAATGCTTAACAGAAAAAAAGTAATAAAGGATATGGGAAGGTTGGAAGAGGAGACTGTATTTTTCTTGTGTACTTAGGGAGTGCATGGACTATGACAGAAACTGAACAGGCAGTTGGAACGCTAGGCTTGGATTCTGAACTGGAGGTGGGCTTGTATACATAGCTAAGACTCCAGTAAAAACTGGTAATTGAAGTTGTCACACTGTATATAGTTACAAGGCTAGAGCAGAGAAGGCCAAAGACAGAGCCATGAGGAGTAACATCAGTAAACAGGTAGGAGAAAGAAAAACACATGAGCCCAAGAGATAAACTATGATGAAATTTTAAATTAGCTTAGCAGAAGATTAATGTGATGCCAGGGACTTGGAGGGAAAATGGGGAGTGATGGGTTCTTTCCAGAATGATGAAAATGCTCTGGAATTAGTAGTGGTACTTGCACAGCTTTGTGAATATAGTAGCTGCCTCATTGTATATCTAAAGTAGTCAATTCTGTTATACATAAGTTATGCCTCAACTAAAAGAAAAGGTAAATGTGACAAAAAACTTAATAATTTATCCTGTACACAAGTGAAACAGACTAAAACATGGGGGTAGATACCTGAAGAAAACTTATAGATAGGTCTCATTTGATTGTTTTTTTAAAGATAAAAAGGACATTTCCACTTTATGCTGAAGCAGTTACCAAATATAGAGATACTCAAAAAAGATAGTTTATAAAAGTAATTGTCCTTTGTGAAGCTCTTTGTGAAAGCTTGTTTTGGATTTTTTCTTATAAGCCAGAATTTAACATTCGTTAAGGAGAATAAACAAACTCTGCTGTCTACCCATTACCTTTCTTTTATTCAGTAATAATAATATTTTAATAGCGCACTTATAGTTTTCAAAGTGTTCATGTATATATATATATACAGTATACATGTAAAAGTACACATGTTTAGGGGGAGAGGGAGATAGTTGTTAGTAGTGTTAAATTCTGTGTTGGTTAAGATGACTATATTAGGACATTTTTGTCTGTACTCTGAATGAAACACTTTGGATAAATCTTGTGTAGGTGGAATGTTTTTTTGTAACAAACTTTAAGCATAAATTTGCAAATCAGACTTATCTGTTGCTGGGACACTCAACTTTTTACTTTTTCCCATAAAACTGGAACTATTACTATCATGTCTGCTCTGTTCCTTACACCTTCATAAGGAGATTGCATAGTTTCTTCTATGGTCAGCCATAAATGTCAGGGCCTCTATGGGCTGTCCTTGATGCTTCCTATCCATTGCTAGCTAACAGTTAATCCCAGGAGTTCCTTTAAAGTAGATCGGTGCCTGCAACAGAGTAGGGCTATAGGTTCTGGAGTAAAGAGGGAAGTGAATTCATTCTTGGTCAGTGTTTATACCACTAGACTTTTTTTTCCTGGGGTGTTAGCAACCATTGCCTTAATTAGCTGGGTCTACAATTGTTTATATTTAGAAAATACCTGAAATTAAATGGGGAGGCCTGATAATTCTCATTGAATGGTTCTCTCTGCAGGAGTTGACAGAAGAAGGACTGCCTTTTCTCATACTCTTCCACATGAAAGAGGATACAGAGAGTTTGGAAATATTCCAAAATGAAGTTGCCCGGCAATTAATAAGTGAAAAAGGTAGACAGATGAAGGTGTTTATTTTCATCCTTTCTCTTTTCTCATCCTGTTTCATTTATATCCACATAAAGATATTTGGGTTAAAAGCCTAACAAGTTACTTTAACATTTGCCTTCAACTATGAAAGTGAGGACACATTAGAAGTCATAGAATATGAAGGGGTGTTTTTGTTTTCTGCACTGTGACTGTTTTAGAGAGAAAAATCAAATAGCATGAGAAATGGGTGCACATTATTAGTTTGGAGTATTTTCTCGTAGCATCTTAATGCTTGACTGACACCTTTTCTGGTAGACATTCCCAGAGATACTGCTGAGAGAACTTACACAATCTGATTCATGCTTATTTCTAAAAAGAGAAGATTGAGCAGCTGTCTGTGGCTTCTATAAAGTATCTAAACAGAATTTGGGATGTGAACTGCCTCCCTTTTGTTCTTAGGGAAGAATTCTTGTCAAACAAAATAAACTAATGGTATTGTATAAAGCTATTCTTTTTAGTCACTTAGTAAATATTTTTTCAGTTGAATTAGATTAAAAAGCAATCAGTACAGGCCATAAGGAGTGTGAAGGAGGATGGTCCCATGGGAATAGCTCATAGCTCATTGGTTCCAGGAACTTGTTGCCCAGAACCTAGGTAAGCTGCATAGTGCATGACTACCCACTTCAAGAAAGTAAAAGATGCACCACAGCATTCCAACTCGAGTTTTCTTATAATTTCTAGCAAAATTTACTCCCTGCCTTGAGAACTAAGATCCAGTTTCTTTAAAAATGTTAGGAATATTTAGATTTTAGTTTTTATAGGCTATATTACTCTAATAAATGTAGGTAGGGATCTTATTTATAATGTCATTTTTTATGAGTTTAGAATGTTAAGAGACACTGAGACGGTGATTGACACTGGGCATGGTGGCACGTGCCTGTAATCCCAGCACTTGGGAGGCTATAAACAGGAGGATCACTACAAGTCTGATCTATATTGTGAGATCCTATAGACCCTGTAGACCCTGTACTAAATACCAAAAAAAAAAAAAAAAAAGTTTAGAGAATACAGTCAAGAAAATTCTAATAGACTTCTCAAATTTTTATTTTTTCAAAGGTACAATAAACTTTTTACATGCAGATTGTGACAAATTTAGACATCCTCTTCTGCATATACAGAAAACTCCAGCAGATTGCCCTGTTATAGCCATTGACAGCTTTAGGCACATGTATGTTTTTGGAGACTTCAATGATGTATTGTAAGTATTACTTTTTAAAAAAAATTACTGATAATGTGTCTCAAAATTGAATTTAAAAAAATTGAATGTTTCAAAATAGTCCTGTGTTGTGAAAGTAACACTCTGCAAGCTGGGTGGAAGAGTTTGCAGTGATTCCTACTTCCTTTCACTGCGGTCCATGATGCAAATGGCTACAAAAATTATGATAGACCCACATCGTAGTACTGATATTAGGTGATTGTAATGCTTGGGCAATTGGTGTTTAATGCTTAGGGATTAATCTCTGAAAAAATTATATCATATGCGAAATTACCTTTGTACCAAGTTTGGTTTTGGCCACTGCACATCAAAGAAAACAATATAATCCTAGATTAATGTTGTGGTTCATATCTAGATGTCCCCCAAAGCCTCATGCAGTCATGGGGTGGGCTTCTACAGTTTTTGATTGATTTATGGTCCAGTGCTGGGATTAAGGGTGTAAGTGCTATACCCACTGTGTGCAAGGTAACCTGCTACAAAATAAGGGAAGGGAAAGAGTCTTGCTCTTTGTACTTCTCCCTTTTTGCACTTGCTGCTTTTGCTGTTTTCTGGCACCTTGAACTGTTGTTCTCTGCCATGTGCTACTCTGTCTTGCAGCCAGCCAAGTATATGAAACCTCCACAAACAGCTAAATAAACCCTTCCTTAGTTTGGGAGGTCAGGTTAAAGAAAATCATTAATAGTGCTATTACTATATCTACCTCTAGCAAGAATATTAGGTTTATATATATATTACCCTCAAGTTTGCTATTGCTAGACATTTCTAATGGTTTATAGCTATGAACTTAATCATAAGTAAACTTTCTGAATCTACTCAGATATTTGTAGTATTAATAAAAAAGTAAGACTTGCAACCACTACAGATACTGAATTTTTATCAACTTTTGGAGATGTTAAATGCAATGATTAAAACTGGAGATATTTCTTGATATATGAAAAATTTAAGCAATACAAACTTAAGTAATCAGAATTAGATGTTTTCTTTTAAAATTGTATTTAAATGCTATCTTAGTTACATTTTCATTGGTGGTACAAAATTCCTGACCCCCACAAGGTGAGGGAGAAAAGATTTATTTAGCTTATAGTTTGTAGAGGTTTCAGTCGATAGTTGTCTGGCTCCAAGGCAGGGTGGCTTGCTAGATAGGCATTGCAGAGAAGAAACAGTTCATGGCAGGGCAGGCAGAAAGCAGCAAGCAGCCTCCCCTTCCCTTTTATCCTATCTGGGTTACAAGTCATTTGGGTGGTGCCTCACACACCCAGGTTGGGGTTTCTGTCTTCTGCAAATCCGTTAAGCCATACCCAGAACTGTGTTGATCAGCACACTGATTATTACCACATACCTTTAATACCAGTATTGCATACCCTAGATCCAGCTATCTTTGAAAAAGTCCTGTCTTTGCATGAGGCTTTGGGGATACATCTGGAGGCAAGCCATAACAAAGGCCTTTTTTATGCCAAAAGACTGAATTGCACAAAAAGGATGTTTTGTGTCCTTCTCAAGGAATTACTTCTTCTAGTTCTAAATATTTCAAAAGGCATGATTCTTCGAATGTCTGTCCTAAGTCTGTATAGCAGGCATAGATTTGAGTCCTGCTTGGGCAAGTCAGTAATTTTCTCTACCCTTGTTTCTCTCTATATAAAATATGGTTGATGGTACCACCTTCCTACTGAGATTTTTATAAAAATTAATTAGAGATGGTCATTGTGATATAGAGTAGTATGAAATCTCAGTTGTAGGTACTTTATCTGCACTCAGAAGGACATTATTTTTCCTGTGTGTTCAATAAATATTCATGTCTTCTGTGTGACAGTCATTTCGCTAGGAACTAAGTGTTTAAAGTTTATTAAGATTGCATCCTGTGGACTATGAATCTAACCTAGTGCAGGGGCAGGTAGGTAAGGAACCCACATCTGCTGGGGCTGGTCTTGAGCCTAGGATGACAGTGACTGGCCTGGTGCTTGGAACTGACATTGGAGTTTGAGTCAACTGATGCCAGTCTAGAAGCTGAGTGTGCAGGTGCTGGCCTAGAGCAGTGATGGTGAACCTTTCAGAGCACATGTCCGGAAGTGTAACCCAAAATGCACATATTTATCTCGAAGTGCCCACACTACAAATGAACTTGAATACTAAGGTTTTAGCTTACAAAAAAAAAAAAAACAACCTCATACATTGACATCTTTTGTTTTGAAAAAGAAGGGACATGTGTGCCATAGGTTTGCAACCACTGGCTTAGGGGTTAGGACCACAAGGGCAGTCTGGATCCTAGAGCACAACCCAGCTGTTTAGGGGCAGTCTTAGAGCCCGGATCCATGTGCATGGGGACTGGTTCAACCCTGCGGCACCAGCAAATGTGGAGCCTTTCTAGAGCTTGAAGCTATGGGGTTGCCCTGGTGGCAGACTGGAGCCAATAGCTGAATGACACCAGCTGATACTAGAGCCCCTGGGTCTTGGAGACTTCATCTTCTAGGGTACTGGTCTAAAGCCAGTAGCCTCAGGAGCTGGCCTGGTGCTGGGAGGCTTAAAACCTGTGCTGGTGGAGAAAAGTCCCTGCTTTACATGTGTAGACACTGACATAAGGCAATAGGAAATATGAAAAAAAATAAGGTAAAAAGAAACAAAAAACCCACATAAAGAACACAATAATTTCCCAGTAGCGGACCACAAAAAAAGGGAGCTACATGAACTGTTCGATAGGTAACTGATTGTTTTAAAGAAGGTCATTCAACTTTTTAAAAATCCATAGAGGGCCAGTGAGATAGCTCAGCAGACTAAGTGCCTGCTTAGGCAAGCACAGGGACAGAAGTTCGATGCCCAGCACCACATGCTGTGCTAGCCCTGCCCCCAGGCATGCTGAGCCTGCCAGTGAGACCGGATGTGGTGGTGCACACCTATAATCCCAGTGTAGGGGAAGCTGAGACAGGAGGATTACTGTGAGTCAGAGTTGCATAGTGAGACCCTGTACCAAATGCATTAAAAAGAAAAAGAAACAGAAAAATGGTTCAGTGAAATCAGGAAAACAGTTGAGTGACAAGATTAACAGAAATTAAAACTATATATGTAGGCTGCTTCTACAAAGCAGTCAGGCTTAGGTTGCTGTGGTTCAATCCCCACTACTCAAGCCAGCCAAACCTGCCCTGAAGACATTCGGAGCAAAAAAAATAAATAAATAAAAAATAAACTATATATGTATATAAAAACCAGGCAGAAATTCCAGAGCTGATCATAATAAAGAAATGACCTTAAATACAGTGTAATATTATACCCAAAGAACTGGGAAAAGAAAAAAACTAAATTTAACATTAGTAAAATGAAAAAGTGGAATGAGAAAATAAAGATCAGAGCAAAAACAGATGAAATAGAAGCTATAAAAAAATCAGACTTTTTTAAAAAGATGAACAACATTAAAGTCTTCAGCTGGACTAAGAATCAAAATGTGAAATGAAAAGGGATAACTGATATTTCTTGCAAGAAACTTGCCTACAAGATAAGTCAAGAGATATACCAATGAAATACAGTTTTAGCTCTTCTAGGGGTAAGGGAATAAACATGACTAAATGCTCCAGAAAAAAAGGTGGAGAAAGGAGAAAGAGCCCAGTCCGTGAAGAGCGGATGAAGCACAGAAAGTAGCCTTCCTCCATAGGGAGAAAAGGAAGGGGGAAGCTTTTCTTTGAGGGTGACTTGGGGATTTTGTGTGACAGAAGTGAAAGACTGCTAAGGTTCTTGTCTGATTGTCATTTGTAACTGGCAGGAATCAAACAATCATCTGCTGAGAGTGAGAGGAACTTCTGAGGAAGCCAGGGAAAATGGAGAGGGCAAGCTTGTGTTGGATTTAAAAAGGAGCTGTTGAATCCAGTAGTCCATCTCCTAACATCCAGGCATTAAAAAAAAAAAAAAAAAAAAAATTGAAACTCATGCAGTTCCAATAGAAGGTGTGTGGGCATTGACTTTTTGCTAGATAGGGCTGTTTTTGCTAAGTTGTGTGTCTTGTTCCTCTCACTTCTTCATAGGCTTGTAAAGCTGTTGGCTCAAACTGAGAGGGAAATTCCAATGGCTGGCCTCGCTAGAGACCTGGCAGGCCAAGTGACTGTGCTTTGCGCCAAAATGCTGTGTGACTTACGGGTCATTTATAGGAAGTTGGTTAGCACATTTCCCTACCTTCAGTAGTGGATGATTCTTACAATTCTTTCTTATATAAAACCTGTTCTCTTTAATGGGGAACTCATTTGTGGAACTCAAGAGGATACCAACCCAGATTCAGTTTACCAGCCAGCAACTAAGCCATGCCCAACCTTGGGTGGTGTTCCTGGTAAGGTTGTATTATGCTCAAGCGAATACTGTTGGGGAATTCCCACATGGCTGTCTTTTTACCTACCACTCTGAAGTCAGATTCGGAACATTGGCCCTTCTAGCCCCAATTTAGTGTCTGTTTCCCAAAGAACCCATGTTCTTTATCATACAGCCTCATGTGTCTGCTACTTTGGTAGGGTTTCCTGGGCCGAGAGAGGGCACTTGACCAGTGAAAGCAGTCCATCAGCTGGTAACATTTTATTTATCCCTGGTGCAAAAAGTAACTAAACTAGTAAGATCTTTTTAATGAAATCTGGAGCTGAGAAATGATCCTCTCACATCCGGCAAGTGTTCTTTAAGTAGAGAAAGAGATAAGAGACGTGACTATAGTTGAATCTTTTTAAAATAAATCACTTCTTTAATTTCTTCCTAAGGTGCTTGATTTCCCCTTGTAGGCACTGCTCCCTCTCACACTTTTTTAATTACAAGGAGACACATGCTGTGAGCAGCAAACCAAACCTCTGTGAATAGATGTTAATGTTAAAAATCAAATAAAGCATGTAGCAAAGTGAATCTGACACACTTAATGGCTTATGTAATTGTTATTGTGCTGCGTTGTAATTAAGGCTTAAGTGATAAGCATTTTCCATAAATTACTGTAATTACTGTTACTTTTACTTAGTAACTCAGCATTT